TACAATTCAGATCAAATAAAGTCCCAGAGAACAATGCATATGCCTCTCACTCTCTTGTGCGAGCCTTTAGCGGTACATCCCTATGGGGCAGAGCGGTAAGTTTAGGTGCAAAGTAAAACTTTTATCTTACCCAATCCCTATATCCACTCCAGTATGTGACACAGTCTAGTTCGTTATGTCTGATGGCGAAATGACCGATTACCATACCTGAACGCTACACCAAGTCAAATGCTGTTATCAGGACTAACGAAAAACGTCAACTAATATATTCACATCTGGAGGCAAAGTGAGGCCGGCCATGGACAACCACTGGAGTACTCATGCATATTTTCGCCCACTGGCGGTTCCAAGGTGAGACGTTGATTTCTGCCACGTACTCCCTTGTTGCATAACTCGTGCAGGAATGAGATTCAAGATTGGTCCAAGCAATCTCATCGGGGGGCATAGACGAGAGGAATTGAACGATATAAAACACCCCCAAAATGAGTATCACTCCGATAGTTATGAAGAAGCAAGATCCTGAGTCATGGTTTTGTCGATGTCCTCCTCTCGAAAGGAGAGAATTGGTTTCATTGGACCTGAAGATAAGTATCAACAACTGCCTATGCTTTTGTGCTATAGACATCGTGCCTGGAATGAATTCTAATCACCTCCATCAATGACTACTGTCGAAAGAGATGTGTGAAGAATGAAGGCTTACACGATCCGGGGAACGGGGCGCTTTGGTACCACGATCGAGGGCTGGCGTCCATAACCATGTCCGTGATGCCCGTGACAACCATAGTTCTGCTCAGAATTACCATTATGTGTATGTCCTTGTGCAGTGGAGTGAGAATGGCCAGGACGGAATGCTTGTGGCGTAGTTGAAGCATGTTGCTGGTATGGAGGAGGAGGAGGAGGACTAATAAACGACTCCACTAGAACTGAGAATTGCGGCAGAAGCCTTGGAATTCGGAATCTTACCTGTTGTAATACGACATCTTATCTCTCAGTGTCTTGCAAGGTGGATTAGCACGAAACCAGAGTGCGCTAAGTTAGACGCGTGACTGGTAGCACGCCGCACGGCCCCCCTTTAGTGTCGTGGGCAGAAAGGAATTGGCCTCTTGGCAGATGGCAGAACGGCAGAACGGCAATTGGCAGAATGGCAGAAGTCGGCAAAATGTATTGTGAGCGTTTCTAGCTCTTTTCAACTATGTTTGTACTATGGCAAAAATGGTTTTGACTACTACACTAAGGCTATACACCTGATGAGACAAAAGTGCATCAATATCATACCCTGATGAACTCTGAGCTTCGATTGAGTACAATGATCTCTTCAACAAAGCCAGTTGGCCTGCCCCATCATTTTCTCACGGTTGGTCAACCTCCTCCTTTGAGTCAACTCTCCGGGAAGTTGCAGAAGCAATAGGTGGGGATAGAGGCCTTGATTGCCTTTTTTGTAGTGAGGTAGCCACTGCACGAACATGATCAAAGGCATCATATTTTTCAGTCAATTAGATGTTTGTCATGGCATTAATAAATGGATGCTGTCGTGCTGAGCTAGCAGCAGTTGCATGTGAAAAGTAGTGATTTGAGTTGTTTTTGACCAATTTTTGACTTTTTCCCCAGTAACTACTAACAAATTGGTCGGACACAAGTTTTTGGACAGAATGCCCTTGGTCTTCTAGGCAACATGTCAAATTTTTATTGTTTGTTAGCAGGAACAAATACTAGGTTATCGTATTTCTGCCGACTTCTGCCAACCACCCTTGACCTACTGCCGGCAATTGCCGCTTGGCAATTGCCACTGGCAGAATGGCAGCATTCTGCCAACAACACTACCCCCCTTTGACGTATCATTCAAGTTAAGAAGAAAGTATATTATGTAATCTATACGTTCTGGAATCTGCATGTTGATTTCAAATTTTTATCACATCTGCAAGTTTGTACCGAGACTTGATAAACGCAAAGCAGTATTCGAAGAAATTATGCTTACATCCCATTTTTCATACGCAAGAGTCCAAATCAGCATACCATACCAACTAAGGCTATCGACTCTGCAAACCGGACTCGGACGTTCAAACGTTCAAGGACACCACATAAGCGTGACACTCTTTGGGCTTACAAGTTACGAGATTTTGGATGGCTGCGGAAGATATGGCATTACAGGGCATAGTCAGACTCACAGTCCATGAGAGCATGATGCAGGAACTCAGTGTTGCCCGGCTGACTCAGTCTTCCACAGGTCGCGCCGTACTCGTTGAGCTGATCAGCCCACCACCCGAAGGTCGTGTCAACGGGGGATCTACAATTAACGACGCAGAGTGTGAGATCGGGGTTGTAACATATCTCTGAGCCAATCGCTGCCCCTCTTCCAGTCTCTGCAACAACACTGCCCGCATGTCTGTGGAAGTGCATGCTGATGGTGCGATTATTCTGTTCCTATATTCATATGTTGCAACTTCGCGATTGCCACGCCGTATATGCTCTGCCACATCCAAAAGGATATCGACGCGAGTAGAGTTGTGCGGCGATGAAATAGGGTTTAGGTTTGGGGGTAGTCCTGATGAAGGGGCGGGATGCGCGTCGACACTTCCAGGGTTGATGACGAGGCACGGCGATGTATTGGTGCGCTGTTCTGCTTTACTTTCGTTTCTGTATTTATCTGTACCTCCGCCCGGCGTATCTACGAGATTTTGAATGACTCCACCGGAAGATATGGCATTACAGGATGTGGTCAAAGACTCACAGCCCATGAGAGCATGATGTCGCACAGGAACTCAGTGTGGCTCGGCTGACTCAGTCATCCACAGGTCCCACCGTACTTGTTGAGCTGATCAGCCCACCACCCGGAGGACGTGTCAATGAACAATCTACAATTAACGACGCAGAGTGTGAGATCGGGGTTGTAACATCTATCTGGGCCACCGCTGCTCCTCTTCGAGGCTCTATTGACGTCCATCCTATCAGCAACATCTACTGGAACACAAGCAGGCGCGGGGGGAACAAGGGAGGGTCTAAGACTGGACTCTACAGGCGTATTGAACTTCCGATTTCCGGGGGTATGTAATTCTGCTGTCTCTTTGGATTCAATAACAGCGTTCGGCACAAGTTCTCCTGATATGCGTGGCAGCGTGCTACTCGAGGGATGTTCACTCTTGCCCCGAAGAGGTGTGCTATGACCTTCTGGTTCTCTTCCTTTTGCCTTTGTAGAATTCGTTGACTGCTCCTGAGTGTTGTCAAGGTGACTCTGTCGGCCATTCGAGGTATCAGGTATATCACGACGCTCGCTGACCACGCCGTGAGTTCGTCGATGGTTCCTGCGATCTTGGGAGAGATGGTCTAGAGAGCTTTCTCGGAGGTAGGTCGTGGGAGGAGTTCTTCTGTGCTCAGGACGCCGTCACGCAGGATTGGGGACACACCTGCACAAAATTGTCATAAATCGATCGATCACAGCCACTCTAGGAGCACGTCCAAGAACAGAATTACATATGAACGAAAAGAAACTATACTGGCCATGTGCAAAAATTTCGGCATTTGGGTGCCTCTGGCCCTCGATATAAGGAGTATCTAGTAAGTCTAGGAACTCAGAGAGAAGTTCGACGGCAGATTCAGCTCGTACTATGTCACAAGAGAAATAATAAATGTGAGGAACTAGAGCATACTATGTTTACGGTGCGAGTAAGGCGCAGAGTAACACACAAGCGAGTCTGATTGGATTAAAGGGTGGCATACCTGGGGCAGAGAGAAAGTCTAGTGTCATGTTGTGGGAGCTTCAAAAGGAGAGACGACTTGGTAGTGACCCGAACTTCTCTGTAACAAAGTGTCAACTTGATAAATTTTTAAGAATGATTCACGGGCCGAAAAAAGACATGACAAAAGTAAGTATGGCGTTCCTCAAGCTCTCAGAGAGGTGGTACGAAGAATCATAGCACGGCTGTCAAAGTTCCTGATTCAGTAAGTCATACCCGCCAAACCTGTCAGCATAGAAACGCGGTGCGACTCCGACGCGTACCTCAACGTCAACATTTTGCCAAACGCGGCGGAGTTCATGACGGAGAAAGATGGCGGCTCGAAATATCATCTCTGGAGATGCCGCAAACTGGGCTGGACTGGGACGATACTAGGCGAATGAGTTAGACGCGGCATGCTGGGCGAGATGAGACGTGTGTGTAAATGCAAGAAGAAGCACATACCTTTGCATACAGATGGCTTTGGTACACCCAACGTCTTCTGGCGATTGCTCGTTCAAGTTCGTCAGCGTCCGAGGCATGACAATCCCTGCAGCCCTGTAGCGATTTCTATGTGCCCGTCGGGCAACTCGTACACAAAATTCCACTGCTGGCAATAACTGTGGTGACGAGGAGCGTGGTGGGGGCAAATACTGTTTTTGGTAGTCGAACTGTGACGCGTATATGATTAGTATAACATATTCACCGATCAACTGGTAGCACAATGGACACTTGCGTGATTGCTCTAGTAGTACATCTATACAGTTGGGGACTTGCTGCCGGTAGGTACTCGTATGTCCGAGTCAATATCATACATCCACTTCCAAATCATGACCAAAGAGTTACGCTGGCTGTCTTGTAAATTCTGGTCTTCCAGGGCCGCGATGGTCACGTCGGTGTGTGCGAATTTGTTGAGAATGGTCTTGACGGCGTTCAACGACAGTTTTGGTTGCTCGGTTGGTGGGAGGTGACTGAGGACACACTTTGCGGCTGCTTTCAACTTCTCACCTGGTTTCCCTGGGTATTTGAATGGGTTGAGCTGATCTTGCGTGAATGAGCATTCGTTCTGTAATTTATCGCGGGCCTCGTTAGGTTAATGAGGCCCGCGAAAAATTCCAGCGTCCGGCGCTCGAGTTTCAGAATGTTGCTGCGGTTCTACAGCAAAGTTGTCAATATTTGAACCGAGATCTTATAGTAATATGCACTCACTGTCTTAACATCCTCCTTGAGCTCCTTAATTTCCTCCTCGAGCTCATTGTTCTTCTTCTGGAGAACGTCGACATCCTGTTTGAGTACCTTGTTCTCTTCCCTGAGAATTTTGACTTCCTGTTTGACCACCTTGTTCTCATACATCGATCGCGTCTGCAGCATGAGATGGGACATGCGTGATACGGTAAGGAACCAGCAATCTTAGGGGCTGTGATACCAACTGCGCTGCAAGGGTGTCCATTAACCGAGTGTATCTCAGCTGTTTCAGTCAACTCACACAGGCGATCATATGGATGTTGAGCGTCGAATGACGGGTTCCGTTTTGCTCGTCACATATTTGGCAAATCGTGCGTGGCCTGCATCCGTGTCTTGAGCGATCTTGCAGTCTACGAGGAACTAGAGCTGGATTTTGTCAGCAAAAGAGAGACTAGCGACACCACGCACAGGTGGGAAGGATAATCCTTCGACATGTGAGTAGATGTGTATAAGTGAGAAGCACGCTACTTACCGAATGATGTTTGAAGTTTCCCGACGACCTCTCTACTGCCTAGCATTCGATCAACCTCACAGGATGTGTTTTTTGCACTGATAATGTAGGTGACGCCTGTGGGGATCTATAAAACCATAATCAGTTCTCCCATTGTGCGGGAAAGTCTCCATGGACATTACGACTCACAGTATCTCCTCACGCTACAAGGTGAGAGGAGGCTTATGTCAGATTTCCAGCGTCTCCTCGAGTCAACATTGATGGACGCGTAAATACGCCAGGAGGGGACTTGAATATCCTTTCGGTTGATGTCTGTAGATAGAGTGTGAAGATGACGAGACAGGAGGTAAGGTAATAAGGAGGGACTCACCTTCAAGTCTGATGTATAGGCTTTCTGAGCTACCAGACACGATGGTGCAACGGAGGATCGAGGATGGGCTGGGCCATGGCGATGTGCTGAATAGTGGACGGGATGAGCGGGAGGGGAATATGGGGTAAGGATGCGGGGACTGTGGATGGAGTAAGGCTGAGAAGGAGGTCGAGGATTCAGGCCATGCGGCAGCAGACTTAGATTTTAAATTTAGAGTCAGCACGATAAACGCTAGTACGATGCACGAATCAAAATAACTAACCAGGATTGATAAAAAGTATCGGTGGCGGGGGAAGAAACGGTCTCCCTGATAACGTCAAAGTGATGGGAAGAAGACGACATGAGAGCAAATTGCTGGTCTAAGAATTTCA